TATTGATGTAGAAATGTTCATTTTGATGATAAATGAGCCACCATTCCTCTAGATTTTTTCTTTTCTAGCATAATAAACCACGTGATTATCTGATTCAAAATGGCCAATGCTAGTCCATTTTAGTTCGTTAATGCCTATTCATTTAGAATCATGCCCCATCAGTCAATGACAGTCCTCAATGCTTTGCTTCATCTACATAATCAAGGTTAATTCTTTGAGAAGACATGCTCTTTCTCAGTTGTATTTTGAATGTTTTTCATTTGCTAATTTCTCAGAAGGAGACTGACTACCTACTCCATCTTCTTAGTTTGTTCTTAGACTGAAAATTCTTCTGAAATTTGTATACCAGGGGCAGCTCGGCTGGTAATTAAGATACTGGCAGTAAAATTTCAATCACCACAGCAGCATGAAAGCTACCACAGTATCACAAACTGACAGATAACTGGAGAAATCTGGGCATTTAAAATATAATTATGAATTTCCAACTCTGGTAAAATGTAGGATAGAAAATCATTGGTGAAAGTTGGAAATATCCATTAAATACGTAATACCTCATGTTAACAATGGAACTCTGGTGGCATAATGGCTACACATTGATCTGCCAACCAAAAGCTCAGCAGTTTGAAACCGATATCCTGTCCCAAGGAGAAAGCCAAGCTTTCTACTCCCATAAAGAATTACAGGCTAAGAAACTCACAGAGATAGTTCGACTCTATCCTATAGGATCACTGTGAGTCAGTATCAACTCCAATGACTTAACTTCATTTTAACAATAAAGGCAATTTTGAGCACTTGAAGCATTGCAATTGCACATTTATTTCCACCTTCCTTCCTTTCCATCTCTTTTTGCCCTGCCTTATAACTTCCCTCCCTGCTTTCTTTCTTTCTTTCTTTTTTTCAGATTTTATTTTATTTTTTAAATCATTTTATTAGGGGCTCATACAACTCTTATCACAATCCATACATACATCAATTGTGTACAGCTCATTTGTACATTCATTGCCCTC